AAAAAAAAAAAAAAAAAAAAAAAAAAGGAAGAAAGAAAAATTAAAAAGCAACATTAAAATACCAAGAGAAATACAAATAAATATAAAATTTAAGTAAGACTTCCAAGTGAGAAATCTAATCTTTTCTCCCCAAATAATGATGTTTAAAAAGCCTCTCAATTGGTTATGACGAACTTTGGATTGATGTAATTTGAACATCTTAAAATTTCGACAAACTTTTTGCCGAAACATTTGCAAATAAACAGACAAACAGAATTGCAAAAATCTAAGGTTTTTTCATTTTTTTTGTTTTTCTTTTCCTTTTTCTTCTCTTCTGTTTTTTTTTTTTAGCTTTATTAAAAGCATCAAAAGTCAGTTCTGTTAATTTAATGATAGCAGAAATAGTTAAATAATGGCTAACACGTAACTGAAAAAAAAAAAAGAAATGTGCTTTTAAAAACAAAAATAAAACATGTCGATAAAAAAAAATTAAAAATTAAATGAAACTGATTGATCAGCTTAAAAGACAAAAAGAACTATTGAAGACAGAAAAAGAAGGAAAAAAAAAACAATAAATGAAAAAAATTTCAATGGTTGCATTTGCAGAACAAAAATGAAACGTAAAGTTAAAGCATCGAATACTCTTCAAAATCTGTCCAACTTTTTTCTTCCAAAAAAGTGTTATGTAACAACCAAACGCATTGAATAGTGACAACTCAGTAAGTTTAAAAAGTTTAGGAAAAATCAAATAAACAAATAAAAAAAAAAAACAAACAACAAAAGAAAAATGAAAAACAATGAACAATTTTAACTCTCTCTCTTTCTTCCCTACAATTCCACTTCTTTTCCACACGTGAAAATATAAAAATATCTTTTTAATTTAATCCATCAGCTCTTTTTTTTCCACAGGAACTTATTTGTTCTGTAGACAGAACTATGGCAAAAAAAAGAAAAGAAAAGATGGTAAAAAAATTAAAAGAATTTTTCATAAGAAACACATAAAATACTGCTATCATTTTTTGTAATGCCGTTTGCAAAAAAAAAAAAAAATTTGACTAGCAAAGAAAATCAACAGAATTTGTTTTCTGATCGCCACCACTATCGTCGTCTTCTTAATGACACTAACCGTTCCTCTGATATTATTAAACTAATCACTTTTATTTGAACAAAACTTAGCAACTGACACTGCTACGGTGTTCCCCATACTACTACCATTATTGAAGGGACATTTACAAAGATAGATTAAGGAAAAAAAAAAAGAAGAAAATTAGCAACAATTCTATGATGATGACTGCAGCAACTCTAACCTTTCCATTGTATCTTCAGCAGTACTTGCACACGTTCTGAGGGCCAACAAGAGCAAAAGAAGTGGTAGAGATGACTATGATGACGTATGATGAATAAAACTGATTTCCAGAAAATTTAACATATTACAATCCTTCTCGAGAATAATCCATGGAAGAATTGAGGCCGAAAAACCAGCATGTAGTTTATGTATAATCAACTGGTTAATTCTTGGATTACG